TAATACTATACTGTATAATTGAAATTTGCTAAGAGAGTAGAACTTAAATGTTCCCACAAAAAGGGGGGTGTAAATATGTGAGATGATGCATGAGTTTAATAAAATGGAATACTATGGAAAGCCCTATACACATAAATGGATCAATTCCCTGAAAACCACAAACTACCAAAACTCAACCAATATGGAATTTATAATCTGAATAGATCAATACAATTAAAGAAATTAAATTTGTAATTTAAAAGGTCTTGAAAAAGGAAAGCTCCAGATCCACATGGTTTCACTGGCGAATTCAACCAAACTTTTAAAGAATTAACACCAATTTTACACACTGTCTTCTAGAATACCAAAGAGGAAGGAATGCTTCTGTTCCCAAGTCCAATGATTCACTAGGAACTCTAGCATATCATATAGTTAGATCATCTAGCATATAGTCAGATTCATTGCTATGATTTATTACAGCAAGAGAATACAGAGCTAAATCAGCAAATGGAAAAAGGCACATGGATTGAAGTCTAGAGAAAACCACACACAAGTTTGCACGAGTCCTCTCCCAGTGGAGTCACACAGGATGTATTTAAGTCATTCAGCAAAGAATTATGACAACACATATGAAATGTCTTCTATCAGGTCAGCTCATTAGATACTCAGTTCCCAGGGCATTTATTGGGGGTTGGTCATATAGGCACCCTCTCCCTAACACTTACAAAAATTCCAGTCTCCCAGAAGGAAAGCAGATGTCCAATACAAACCATACTGTTTGTTCAAACAGTTTAGGCACAGTGAGCCACTCTTATCAGTCCTGGGAATGGTGGGAATTCACCCTAAATCCAAGCTTCCAGATGCCATCCAAGGGCCTGCTATGTTAACTCTTTCCTGCACAACTTTCTCCAACTCATTTTATGGAGCCAGTATTATACCAAAACCAGACAAAGACAGTACGAAAAAAAAAAACCCTCAAAAATTCTCTCATGAACATTGACACCAAAATCTGCAACAAAATATTAGTGATATAGAATCCAGAAAGACATAAAAGAATTATACCATAGTCAAGTGAGACTTATTCCAACTACGTAAGGTTAGTTCAAAAATCGATATTCAATCAGTGTAATCTACTATATCCACAGGCTAAAGAAGAAAAGTCAGATAACCATGTCAACTGATGCAGAAAAAGCATCTGACAAAATTCAGCATTCATTCATGATAAAAACCTCTCAGAAACTAGAAATAGAAGGTACATTTTCAACTTGGTAAAGAGCATCTTTAAAAAAAAAAAAACAACAACCCACAAACAGCCCTGGCTGGTGTGGCACAGTGGATTGAGCGCCAGACTACAGAGCAATCGCTGGTTCAATTCCCAGTCAGGGCATATGCCTGGGTTGCATGCCAGGTCCCCAGTAGGAGGCGCACGAAGGCAGCTATACATTGATATTTCTTTCCCTCTCTCCCTCCCTTCCCCTCTCTCTAAAAATAAATAAAATCTTTTAAAAATAATAAAAATAAAAAAAACTGTTTTCTTAATGATGAAAGATGGAATGTTTCCCCCTAGAAAGGGAACAGGAAAGGATGTCCACTCACACCAATCTCATCTGACATATTACTGAAAGTTCTAGCCTGAACAATAAGTAACGGAAGGAAAAGAAAAGGCATACAGATTGAAAAGAAAGAAATTAAACTGTATTTATAAATGACATGATTGTCTATGTAGAAAATTCCAAAGAATCTACCAAAAAAATTACTAGAAATAATAATTGGGTTCAGCAAAGTCAAAGGATACCAGATCAACACACACACAAAATTGCCTTCCTATATACTAATAATGAACAATGAATGAGGAAGCTGAAATTTAAAACACAATACTATTTATGATCACTTCGAAGAAAATGAAATATGGTATACACTTAACAAAACATGTACAGGATCTATATGCTGAAAATTCCAAAATGCTGATGAAAGAAAACAAAGAAGATTTAAATAAATGGACAGACACACATACTGTGTTCATGGATTGGAACACTCAATATAGTAAAGTTGTCAGTTTTCCCCAAATTGATGTATAGGTTTAAGACAATTCCTATAAAAATGCCATTAAGGTTTTTGTAGATATAGACAAGCTCATTACAAAATTTATATGGAAAGGCAAATGACCCTGAATAGGTAAAAAACAATTTTAAAGAAGAGTGTAGTGGGAGTAATCACTCTACCCAATGTTAAGGCTTACTAAATAGCTCTAGTAATCAATACTTTGGTATTCATAAAAGATTAGGCACATAGAATGGAACAAAACAGAAAACCCAGAAATAGCCCCATACAAATGGCCCAACACAAATATGCCAAATTGATTTTGACTAAGGTGCAAAAGCAATCAATGGAAGATAGTCATTTTTAACAAATTATGTTTAAGCCATCAGACATCCATAGGAAAAAATATGAACCTTGACCGTAATTTCACATTTTATACAAAAATAAATTCAAAATGAATTACGGATTTAAATGTAAAGTATAAAACTTTTAGAAGGAAATATAAGAGAAAATTTGTGGAACTTAGGGCTAGGTAATACCAAAAGGATGCTGTATAAATGCAGACATTGATAAGTAGGAGTTCATCAAAATTAAAAATTTTGGTCTGCAAAATCTCTTAAGAGAATGTAAAGACCAGCTACAGACTGGGAAGAAGTATTTGCAGACCACGTATCTGACAGAGAACTTGTATCTAGGATATATTTTAAAATTCTCAAAGTTTAACAGTAAGAAGCAAATACAGTTAAAAATTGGGAAAAGACATGAACAGACAGACATTTCACCAAAAAAGATACACAGGTAGCAAATAAGCACGTGGATAGATGTTCAACATCATTAGCTGTTAAGAAAATGCAATTTAAAACAAATATATCACTACACAACTATTAGAATGTCTAAAATAAAAATATAGTGATAATACCAAATGCCAGCAAAAGTGTGCAAAAACTGGCTGTCTCTCATACATTGCTGGTGAGAAGTAAAATGATATATAGATAGTCTGGAAAATTTTGGCAGTTTCTTATAACACTAAATTTACACTTACTGTCTAACTCAGCAATTGTACTCTTGGGCATTTGTCACAGAGAAGTGAAATGTATGTTTACATAAACGCACAAAAAAAAACTCTACATAAATGTTCATAACAGTTTTAATTCTTAATAGGCAAAAATTGGAAACAACCCAAATGTCCTTCAATGGATGAATAAACTGTAGTACATCCATACTATAGTAATATTACTAATCAGCAATAAAAAGAATGAACTATTGATATGTGCAACAACTTGGGTGGATCTCAAGAAAATTCTTCGAGTGTAGAAAAGCCACTTTCAAAAAGTATGATTCCATTTACATAATAGTCTTGAAATAACAAAATTAGAGAGATGGAAAACATGTTAGGGGTTGCCAGGGGTTAGGTTAAAGTAGGAGAAGGAGATGCAAGTGACTATATTGGGTGGCAGGAAGAATCTTTGTGGTGGAGGAACAGTTGAATGTGGTGGTTACCCAAATCTACACATGTGATGACATTGCATAGTACTATATACAAAGACAGAAACGAATGCATGTAAAACTGGTGAAATCTGAATAAGGTCTGTGGATTGCACCAAAATCAGTATCTTGGTTACGTAAAGATACTACCATTGGGGGAAACTGGGGTGAAAAGTATATGGGACTGCTCTGTAATATTTTTACAGAGCCTGTGATTCAATAATTGTTTCAAAGTAAGTATAATAAAATGAGGTAAGTCTGAAGGATTATGAGTATTTTCAAACTCACACATTTGCATATTATAAAATAGAATTACATCTTTAATATGGAAAACATAAAAAATATAAAAGAGCCTACATTTGTGTTTAGCCTAGAAATGTAAATGAAAATGACAATGTGAGTTCATGGTAATTGCACATGGTACATAGCCAAACCTAGAGAGGTAAATGAAAAAGGGATTTTTTGCTTAAGCATCTGTATGAGTCAGAATTCTACCAGAGAAGCACACCAATAGGACATTATATCCATATCTATCTACATAATTTATTCATGCATTTATTGGAAGATATTGGCTTATACAATTGTGGGGCTGTCTAAACAAATCCAAAATCTGTAGCACACACAGTCAGAAAGGATAATTTCTTTTACTTTAAATCAATTGATCTGAAGCTTTAATTACATGAAAATATCTTCACAGCAACACGTAGATTAATATTTGATTAATTAACTGGGGGCTGTAGCCTAACCAAGTTGACACATCAAAAAGCCACCATACATCATAAATCATTTGTGCTTGCAATTGAATAACTGCATCCTGTTAATAGCCACCCTGGCTTTATCATTATAGGTAATCCAAGCACAAGACAATTTAAATCAATAGTGGCTGACAAGTTTTCTACATGAGGGTCCACTTACAGAACTTTGGAGTTGTAAGGGGCCAAGAAAAGCTTAGTTTGTATTTGAATACAGCCGAGGCACCGCCCCTTGACCCTCTCTGGCACTTGGCCAGACCGAAGATCCCGGCGCCTTCAGGAGCACAGAGGCACCCACCTGGAGTACGGCGCGGCGAGTGCGGGAGCACGAAGTGGGCGGAGCCTCGAGGCGCGCTGGTGGTGCCGACGGCGCCCAGCCCGCCAGAAGAGCTCGAGGCTGGCGGACAGCGGGGAGCCAGTCGGGTAGGGCGAGCGCTGCCGGCGGTGGGAGTGGGGGGTGCGGGAGAGGGAGGAAGGAAGGGGAAGAGGCGGAGCGTGGGAGCGCACTGTGTCAGGAATACAATAGTGCTCCGCGCTGCTTCAGCCGCCGCCGCGCTGCCGCCGCCCAACCGCCTGCCCGGCGCTGAGGCCTGACGGGCCCGGCCGGCGAGGGCCGAGGGCGGGAGCTGAGGTGCAGGGGGCGGCCCCGGAGGATCGGGCGGCTGGGCGGGGGGCGGGGGAGGGGAGGAGATTAGGGGGCAGGTGCGAGGGAGGGGAAAGAAGAAAGCGAGCAGTTGGGGGCGGTTGCCACTCCTACCAGACTCGCCCGGCACAGCCGGACCTGAGCGTGGAGCCGGGAGGGAGCCGCAACTGGCCACGCCAAGGTAGGCGCCACTGGGGCCGGACGCGGCTCTAGCGGACTGGGGGGTGGCGCGCCGGGTGGGCACGGGAGGGGCGGCTTCGGGGAGCTGAAGCAGGCGGTGTGGGGTGCAGCGTCCCGGCCCAGCCTCGCGGAGCTCCGGGTCGCTCCCGCTTTTCTGGCGCCTCCGGCGCCTGGGGGCCGAGGGCGTGTGTTCGCCGAGGTAAAGTGGTCGGCTGTGGCCAGCGCGGGGGGCGGGGGCGGGCGCCCGAGCTGCGCTACACTCACAGTCGGGCAAGCGTGGAGCGCCATAACTGTTGCGGCGGTTCCCTCCGGTACCTCCTCCCGACGCCCCCTCGTTCCCTATCCTCTGCCTTATCTCGGTGCTCACGGGGTCAAACCCGCGGCGGGAGGACCTGCTCTGCTGGCTGCCTGGAGCCAGATTCTCCGGGGAGCGAGGGCGCACCCTGGCTATTTCGATGTTGGGGAGCAGGAAGAACAGAGTGCCCGGAGAGGGGGGCCGGGAGAGGGGGGCCGGGAGATGGGGGGAGCAGCAAGGCCCCCGGTGAGCTCGGGCGCTCTGCGGGCTGGCGAACTTTCCCTCCCCCTCGCGTTATTGTTCGGGCGATGCCGGCCGCTGAGCGCCGAGCGGTCCGAGGGTGGGAAAAGCGGGAAGGCTTTGCGAGTCTTCAGGGGAAAATTTCCCACCGCTGGACTCAGCAAAGTTAACTTTTCTCCAGCAATGGAGTTGGCTTCATTCCCTCCGTCGTGGGGCAATCTATTAAAAAAAAAAAAAAAAAGATAGCCTCCCCTTTAGTCTTTTTCTCTCGCTTTTCAGAACTACTGCTTCGAAGAAGTCGGGGTTTAAATTGCAGAAGGCAACCTGCGTTTCTTATTTGGGAGGAGGGAAGGGGGGCGGGATCTCAAGTGAGTGACCATAATGGTGGTATGTGAAGGCATGTTTAGAAGTTGGTATCATTCTGTAGCCCTGGGACATATGTGGCTTCTAGGCATTTGGCAAGAAACTTGTTTGGCTACTTCTCTGACTTCTGAATTGCAAGGAAATCCATGGCCTCAGATATATACGAGATTTTTTTGGGGGGGGGATGTGAGTTCCGTTTAACTGTGAAGCTGAGAAGGAGATCCTGACGCCCCCCCACCCGCCCCACTCCCTTCCGCCATCTGATTGTACAAGAAATCAGAACCGTGTTGATGGTGATTCCAGTGGCCTGGAGGGAAAAACGATCTCATTCTCTGTATTCAACCTGATAAAGATAACTGTCTGCTTCTCTCAAAACTATGAAATAATTTAAGTAAAGACTGGTTGCACAACATCTTGGCTTACTTTAAGCAACCCAGAACGCACTTTTCCAGAGTAGTTATCTTAAATACCTTCCCTGCAGCCACTTTTTGTTAGCCTGGGGGAGAGGGATGTGTGTGAGAAAGGAGTTGGCCTCAACAAAGCACTGTATTTTTATTTAATAATTTCATAACATCTGTAAATAATGGGAATGTGGATCTCGGCCTCTGTACCCTTTGAATAGTGTAGTTCTCATACTTTTAGTGCATCATATAATTACTCTCCAGATAAGTGGAAGTAAATGTTTTATTCTTTTTAGTTTATCCTAGGAGTATTCTACCTTCATAACATTTTTTTTTTCATTTAAAGTGAGCTCTGAGCTTAAATACTTGAACTGTAAAAGGGTGATATCTCTTTTCAAGGGGTGAAGGAATTACATGAGATCTTAGGGAAGTGCTTCCTAGTCAGTGTGAGCTACCATCATTACCATCTTTTCTTTAAGTATGCTCTTCTCTTCACTTTTGTATGTTAGAAAAGAGGCCTTAACCCAATATTGTTGCCTGGAAACAACAGTTCTTTATCCAGACAATTGCAGGTCTGGTTCTAGAACCCACACTTTCTGTCTACCTGTTTTCTGAGCCATATTGCTACGCCTTGTCCTTCTCAACTGTAGGAGCCTGTGAATCTTGGTCACAGGTAAGGGAAAGTGGAGAAGGGCCTCCCACTCCTTCCTGAAGTATTTGTGATCAACTGGGAGCCAGGAGTGACTTGGAAGCAGCTTAGGGGTACCTGTGACCCACCACATGGCCTGTAGAGGAGGTTCTCAGGAACAGGGCAGGTGATGGTACAGGGCTCTCAGAGTCAAAATACATATGTTAACAAAAGAATAAAGGATGTTGAAGGCTTGTAGGTTGGATATAATCCTTTTCTTTGATAATGCTTGTCTTTTCCCTGCCTTGTGTTCCAACAGCCATAAGAACCCATTTATCCCCTAAGCTACACAAAGCCTTCTTTTTCCTACTACTTCGACGTCTGGCTGGAACTAGGCAAATATCTGAGGGGGAACCTGGGAAGACAGGAGGCATTGGATGTTTGTGAAGACATGGCATTACAGAGGGTTCTTATAAGCCTTGATCAGGGACAGAGGTTGAACATTATAGGACATAATGCACCTACCTCCTGTGAAGCTTACACGAAACAGGAGCTGAGGAAGGTAGAGATCATATGCTGGTTTACATGACCTTTACTTACCTCTTTTTTTAGGTGAGGGGTGGGTGTTGGGTGATACCCATCTGGCACACTCCTGAAATGGCTAATATGGGGACACTTGAGTGGTTTACAAGTTTCTACCTGTTGTTCAGTCACAGTGCCTGGGAAAGCTGAAGCATTTTGGTTTGTGGGGTAGGTAGGGTCTAGGATGAATGGGTAGAAGTAATGAATAAATAAAAGTGTGCTAGTAAGTGGTCATTACAGACCAAATAACTACTCCCTTGAGTTTTCTGTTTTCTGAATTGTTTGTGACTCCTCCATGGTTATTTTTGCCTCTTCCCCATAGGTTTCTCCATAGACAATAGCAGCAAAGCTCTTAGCATCAGGACTGTCTCAGTGCTTCTCTTAGGGGGAAGAAAGGGGTCCTGGAGAGAATTTGCTTGACCCCACAGCTAAGTTTGGGAAAAGGAAAGCAAGAACTCAGAGGGCAGCCAACTGAAGAAAGTAGGGGGCCTAGTGTGGGGAAATAGTGCTGGAGCTTTGATCAGTAGGAGGTACCAAAGCATTTATTAATATGCTTCAAGCAGTAAATAATTTAATCTCTTGTCACAATCCAGAAGCCATGGCTGAGCCCTGCTACCCAAGGAGCTCCTTGTCCCTTGATATTAGCTACTAGGCAAGGAAACCCAAGCCTGGAGTGTGTTTTTTGGGAATAGTTGGCAAGAGAATGTGGTACCAGCATGGCCAGTACACTAGACCTTGTGTGTTGGAATCTCCTGGGAAAATTTTTTAATTTTAAAAACTTCTTATTTTTGTGATTATAATTACAAAAGTTGCAAGAATAGTACAAAGAACTCCTTTGTACTATTCCCTTTACCCAACGCCGCCAATTATTAACAGTTTCTTCCTATTTGCTTTATCATTTGCTCTTTCTGTTTCTTTTTATGAACAGTTCAAGAGTAACCATTCAGAGACTGGTACTTGTCAAGGGAATCCTGTCATGAAGGGTGGCTCACTTGCAGCCATGGGGTACAGCAGAACATTGGTGGTGATGTAGGGACCCAGAGATGGAGTAAAGCCTACGGACAGCCATAAAACACACATTTGTAAATCACATGGAATCTCTGGTGCTGGATATAGAAATTACTGTCAGTTGTAAAGTGGTTTAGATAAACTCCTTTTTGTTTTCAGTCATGTCCTAACTATGCCAAACTTTAATATTGTTATGAAAATACACTCTACCCCCCAACTTTGCAGCCATATGTATTCTCCAACATTTTCAATAATTCAGTCAGTAAACATGTATTGCATGCCTCCCATTTGATGTGGGCATAAGAGATGAAAGATATTCATCTCCTTAAGAGCTCAATATCCAGTAGAAAGGAAATAAGGAAAACTACCATCACAGTCAGGGAAAGAGTGTTCTGGTGAAGGAGTTCACAGGAGGTGATTGGAACTCCAGGCTGGTTAAGGATCTGAAGAGTGAATACCTGGGAGTTGTTTGGGATGTAAGTGAATGTGAAGATCTGTCTTTTCTGAGATTTGCTGCTCTTAGTTGACAAGGTTCATGAGTTAGGGAAGCCTTTGGTGTCAGTGCACGCAGCACGGCTATGGAGTGAGGCCAGTTTGCATTCTAATCTACTACTTGATCTTGGCCTCAGTTTCTGCATCTGCCGAACCACATCTCCGAGGTAATAATTAATTGAGGTAACAATTGCTCTGTAAACATTCATTTCATCTTCCCCTCCAAAAATGCAGCATATGGGGAAATAGCATGAAAGGTACTAGGTAGTGAGGTGCTATCCATTGGGGGGAGATGTTTCTGTTTTTTCTACAAATAAATAATTACTAGTTGTACTAAGTGCTATGATGGAGATTACTCTATATGGGATAACGATAACAGCTGCAATGACTTGTTGACCATTTCCTGTGTGCTGAGCACTGTGCTAAATGCTTAACTTAGGACATCTCTCTGAGGTGTAAGGCTCAAAGAGGAGAAGCAAAGGTAACTAGCCCAGGTCACAAAGCAAGTAAGAGTAAGAGTCCTTCTGTAAAGGAGACCAGCAAGGTGCCCTGGACCCTGAAGGATGAGCAGGAATAAGCAAGGTACAAGCTAGAGGAATGGATTGCCAATAATAAGGAACAGCAGGTGTTGTGAGGGCACTGAGGTGGGAGAGAGATGTGGAACGGATCCTCAGAGGTTTGGCTAGGACCTGGGGAAAAAGAGATGAGGTAGGCCAGGGAAGATTTACAGGGCCTTATGGGACCTGATTAAGAAGCTTGTATTTTATTCCAATGGCAAAGGGAAACTGCTGGAAGGTGTTTTTCACTTTTTCTTAAAGAGTGTGTGTTTAATCCAGAAAAGCATCTAGTGAGACCTAAACAATAGTGGTTTAATAAAGTCATTTCCCCTTCAGTGTCCCATTTTGTCATCTAGTAGAGGCAATGTTTCTAACTCAGCTATATAGATCTTAAACAGTTTTACTTCCCATCATTAACATAGCTAAAAAGGGTTG